AGATTATTCTGGAGGAACGAGAAAAGAGAACAATGAGAAAAGTAGGAAAAGTAGGAAGTATGAGGGAGCGAAATGGGCCCCACCCCGCCCATTTCCGTGAGGTCCTACCTCTCCACAATGGAGCTACGACCCCTCCGAAGCCCCATAGGGGACCGTGTTTTTTTTTGTTTTTTTTTGAGGAAAACCCCCGAGTCCTGCGGCTTTCGCGCACAGGACTAGGGGGGAAAAACCTCAGGAAGGGAAGGAAGTCGGGTCGAGGGACAAGAAAAACGCACAAGGGGGTAAGGTGAAGTTAAACGCGAAGAAGCTAAGATGAGTTAAACGCGAAAGGGACAAGTTAAACGCGAAAGGTCTGCCCTTAGTCAAGATTCACCGCAACGAAAGACCGCGGGCGTAGCACCCAGCGAACCCTTGCGGGCACGCCGGGACATCCGGAAGGACGATATTTAACGCTACAACCTCCGTCCCTTCCCACGGGCGAGCCCAGTGGGTTAGACGTAAGGAACCACGCCCGCCGCCGGCGGGGGGCCCCGTTAGCCATCGATCCCCGCGCAAAATGTCTCCGACAGAGGGTGACTTTATACTAGCGGGTGCTCAATAGCACCCGCACCTATCCCAAGTGAAGTGACCCCCAAGCACAAGCACAAGTAGGACTTTACCCAAAGTCAACGGACTACCCCTCCGACCTCCCCACGGACAAATAGGATCGTCTCTACCCACACAAGTGCCCAAGGGTCAAGACATGTTGGAGCGTTTTTAGCAAAGCGAACAAATTATACTAAATACGCGAGAGCTAGACACCTGGCTAGATTCACTATACGAAAGACCATGGCCGTAGATACCCTAAGGGGGCTCAAGGCCCCCGTCGGGAGACCCATAAGGTCCTGTTGCGGCCACAACTTGGGCCACCAACCACTGAGCAAGCTCAGCGGAAGAGGCGGAAGGGCAACCCCCGACACCATGGTCTTAAGTCTAGCTGCACTAACCGGATGACTACTCTTGTATGACTACTTGAATTAATAAGCTCGACCCGACCAAGGAAATAGGAAAAGTAAGACAAGCACAATGTAAAGAGGGAGAGAACAGAGTGAAACGAGAAGTTATAAAGGAAGATAAAATTTAAGAAGTTAAAAAATAGAAAAGTAATGAATGAGGGTATCAAAGTAGAGAAGAAATAAGGAAAGAGGTAAGTAATAAAATAAGGAATGAAGAATAAAGAAATAAATATAGAAAAAGATAAAGGTTGAAAATGGATATGAGGGGTATTTCCAAGATACTAGTATAGGAGACTGGCTCGAGGAAGAATGAGCGAACGAGAAGACAGAAGGGAAGATAGAAATAAAGAAGTTAAAAAGTAGAAAAATAAGGAATAGAGTCATAAAAGTGGAGAAGAAATGAGGAAAGAGATAAATAAGAAAGTAAAGAATAAAAGATAAAGAAATAAGGAATTAAAGAAAAAAATAAATATAGAAGAAGAAGGTTGGAAATAGATATAGAAATAAAGAAGTGAGAATAAGATAATAAGAAGGAAATGATATAAGTGAAAATAAGAAAGAAATTAATATAGAAATGAAGAAGTGAAGAAGTAGAAAAGTAAGGAATAGAGTTATAAAAGTGGAGAAGAAATGAGGAAGGAGATAAATAAGAAAGTGAAGAATGAAAGATAAAGAAATAAGGAAGTAAAGAAGAAATAAATATAGAAATAAAAGAAGGTTGGAAATGAAAATGAGGTGTATTTCCAAGAGACCAGTATAGGAGACCGGCTCGAGGAAGAATGAGCGCTTCGAGTCCGGGCCCTGCCTCGAGCGCCCCCACCCATCCGCCTGCTCCCGCTTTCCGAGTCCTGCGTGAAAAATTTGCGCGCACACAATTTTGGGCAACTTCCAGTACTTCTTAATATTCTTCGCCAAAATTTCAGCCCGAAAACAGATATGAAGGTTTTTCCTCAATAAAAAAGAACATGATCCCCTATGAGGCCTCGGAGGAGTCGTAGCTTCCTTGTGGAGAGGCAGGACCTCACAAAAATGGGCGAGGAGGGGTCCATTTCGCTTCCTTATCCTTTCTACTTTTCAGTGTTCTCTTTTCTCGCTGCTCCAGAATAATCTGGTCCTCGCACATACGTTTTACGCATCTTCTTCTCTCCTTGCTACCTCAGTCCTTACCATCTCTCTTCTTCACTCTTTCTTTTTAACAATCCTCCTCTTTTTCCCTTCATTAACATCTTCCCTCTCTGCCACCAAACGTTTCTACTCTATTTTCCGAATCTGTTATTCCTTGCTGTGTCTCCCTCGCTCCACTCCTAGTATATCCCTAAAAATTAAGTTTTTAAATTTTCCTTTGAGAAAGGAAAAGTCCAAAGTGGTAGCGCATATAATATACAACATGTACATTATATTGCAGTGATATATTTAATATATCTCTATTGGTATTCTTGCTGCTAATCTTTCACAGGCCATTTATATACATATGTACATATGTACTTCATACACCGCTTCATTGTTGTATTTGTCGAATAAATTACCTTGAAACATTTATGCGTTGATGTCCTATTCTTTTCAGTCTCTCTCTTACTCTCCTCCGTCTTAACTGCATCCTTCTCCTCAGCCCTTATGTTTCGATATCCTTTCCAGCTATGCTCTATTTTCCCTGCCATTATTTTCACCGTCTTCCCTTATTTCAGCATACATTCAATTAGCATTCACCTCCTGACTTCATACTCACTACATATCTGCTTACTATATGATTTAGCACTAGCCGATAATTTTAATTGTATTTTCAAAATTTCCTACAACGTCTTCGCTACTCTTTTATTAATTATGATTTAATGGTCATTTAACAAATTATACTACTTTAAGTGGTTCCTTATCAAGTGCTACTGAGTATGTCCGTGCATTACTTGATATAAGTTTTCGTTCATTATGCGAGTCCTCAAACTCAGAACCAACGTCAACTTTCTATATAGAGCATATTAGCAATAACTCGTTATAAATAACCACGGTAAAAGCCTAATGGCAAACATATAGTCTTAGAATACTATTAGTAGGTTCAAAGTAAGTACTTTGAAATTCTTGGCATGAACCCGCGAAGTAGTAGATGGAACTAAGAATGGATCTCTCTTTGGCTTATTACCCATATAGACGTGGTGACCATAAATAAGCTTTTCGTGAAACACGTTTCTCCAATCGGCCGGGAGCGTAATATATGGTTTTGGGTTAGAGACAAATTATGTAAGAAATTCTGGAACGATTGGCAGCAGCCTCGATCTGTGTGAATTTTAATAATTCCTGAAGATTATTTAGAGTAGCGTGCACACAATATTGATCAGACAATTATCATGTATTATGATAAGTAATCATAGAACCCGACCTGCCTGCACGCGAAAGTCATTGAAGGGAATTATCGTAGTAAATCGAATTCTTCATTTGGTAATCATAGAAAGACGTCTGTTAATATTAAAAATTACTTTTATTTGACTATCGAACACTGGTCGGTATGGTAAATGACTTCTTTATAATATCGCTTTATTACTTGCCGAACAGGTCCGTTACACGAGACATTAAAAATTATTAAAATAATATTATAGTCTAGATTTACATTGATCGCAAGATAGATTGTACAGGTGACAATGGATATAGTAATAAGGATGATGATAATAATAATAATAATAAGAATAATAAGAATCACCTGTACTACTTAAATATTAATTATCCTATACTTGAAGGAAATAAAATGTATATAAAAAACACGATATTCTATTTGCCAATGGTAAAAGTAGTGCGAGAAAGATATAGTGCGAATGAGAATTGGAGAGACAAAAGTTTTGAGAATACTCGGTATCTTTGTTTTGCTTGCAAAGAAGGTTGATGCTGTCATTAATATTAACGTGTTGCGTAATAAGAGGGCTATGTTAAACCTCGCGCGTGTCAGACATCATCGAATCCGAGAAGCGTAATTCGCGAGTGAACAAGAATTACAATCTTTGGTTCATACTTTATAAAATTCTCCTTAGAGCACCATCGCAATAGCCAAATTTAATACGAGTGCTGTAATTGTCATAGCGCCTAGTCTGAGACTCATTGCGCCTGATATGTCAAGTTTCTCAATGATGTGTTCGGGAAGGTCAATGTAGACCTTACTGACACCTACAGTTTTTATAAACGTCGAGAGTTTGTCGGTATCAATGTCGTCTCCTTTGCCTGTCCAGATCGTCAATGTAGGGTTATTAGCCGAGGTTCTATTCAATAAATCCTGCATTTCCGATATACTATTAACGACTATAGCAGCGCGCACTGGGTATGTTATCGACTGAGTAATATTACTGGAGGAGACAATGTCGACCATTCGCTGAACCATGCCGGAAGTATAGGTACCTTCCGTAATATTATCAGCAGACCCGTATCTGCAAGGTTAACACAAAAACATGAAAACAAGTGAATTTATCGAAGGAAGAGTAGTTTAACAAGAAAACCTACCTCGTGGTCCATCCAATGGACAGTGTACTCTCAGGGAAAGTTTTATGAGCTCCTGTTAAGAAACTGCGAGCATCTACTGGATTTGCTGTAGCATTAACTGGCCCAGGAAGAATGTCAGCATTGAGCCATACCGGAAATGTCATCTGTATGATCAGTAAATACATGAATTATTATTTGTATCTAATCATGGTATGCAGTATCAACAAGTTCACGCGCATCAGTTGGATTTAACTTTTGCTAGTAAGAACCGTTAAAGGTTATGGCGGTTCGAAATTGTTTAGTCTGTTAAGTGTTTAATAGAGACAATTAATTGACAGCTGTTATATTACACTCGACGCGTTAGAATGTTGTTAACCCTTCGTATAACCTACATTTTTGTGAAGTTTTGCCAAGATACTGAGACTCTGATTGAAAACTTCAGTGGTTTTAAAGTCAAGCTTGACACCCTTCTTTCCGTTAGCCGCTACAGTATTGATAAATTGCTCCAACGATAAGTCACTCTTATTGGCAGGTGGATGTCCCATTATAGGTATTTGTTCGGTGCTGCTGTCGTCATTGAGAGTACCGAGAACGATGTCAGCCTCGAGCATCATGATGTCGGCTTTAAAAGTAAAGATTCAGGTATGTACAATACATAGTCCAAGGTATATCGATCGGGAAGCCTAAAGGGGTAGAAGCTAGTGAACGTGTCAGTGCAGTTTTCTTTATTAAAGACATCTATGGGAAAATCTATACTGTGATACGAATTTTTACATTATTTTCAGGTAACAGTGTATACGAATTGAAAAGAAGATCGTAGTCAAGTAGAAAAATGTCATGAACTTCACTTTTAAACGGACATTCGGTTTCGATGTACAAGCAGAATCGATGGAGATTTTTATTCACAAAAATAGAAGCAAAAGTGAGTTTCCTGTATGGGTTAGTTCGATACTGCTAATATTATATTGCATTAGTCCATTTAACCATCCGGGGTTTCTGACATAACCCCAAGCTACGATTCAAAGACCTAATTACTAATCAGATATAAATCTTCCTTTGAGAATGTGGAAAGCAATGAAGTGGATTACAATTATATATATAACACAGTCATTACCTAAGATCATTAATTAGCATAGTAATTACCTTTGGCAAGAGCATTGTTAAGTTCCGTTGAATTATTGACAGCATGAGCCCAAGTGATTTTCGTGAGGTTTCCTTCGATTGTCGGGAAAAAGGTAGTCACAGGCGGCGATACAGCGGCCATGGCGATATCTAGAAAAATACAAAGGGAAACGATTGAAGTAAAGAAATATTTGTATGATTTGACTAACCTTTTCACTGTGATTCTATAGTATATATTTAATTTATATTACTTCAATATCGAGCTCCGAGTTTGTCATTTGCTTTTACAAATGGCCGAGGCTTACGTCTACGGGCTTATGACGCGTATACCTGGTAAACGATAGCCTATCGGTTCGCGCCCTTTTTTCAAAATATTTATACACGCATATACAACGCACTTCTCACTATCAACCATAACAGTGAATTTCTAGGAAGCTCGCAAGTGTCCCAGAATTCTCCACTAGTGTTATTAAACTCGACTACTTTACCAAGGCAATCTTCAAGATAGCTCAAGGAAATTCACGGTCCACCGCTCGACGACAGTGTCCAACCGTATTGAACAGTAGAAAATGTGAAACCTGTTTAACGCTCCGACTTATTTCCGACATTACGTACAAAGGATTCAAACTGAACTGACCTCTTCAACGATTAGCAAAGAGACTCTGTTATCGTTCGAACAATCGTCTAACTGTTTCAACTTAGCACACTTATTCTTCGTTAAATTTTATCGTTGTATCGATACTCTTATACGTGTCCCTTACATTGTACTGTGGTACTATGTACCCGTAATAAGGTCAATGCGAGGACCGACAGATACGTGCGTTACGTAATAATTCTATTAATAGTTCAAAAAAATAAACGAAAGCCTTTTGGCAGATTCCCAAATTCCTGTACCAAGACGAAATCGATAAAATTTCCAGGATCTATAAACCACGAATTCCGGATAAAAATTGAGAAAATTGTACGTTGAATATAAGAGAATCCGTAATTTCTCGAATTGCCGAATTCATTGAATTTAATCGTATTTCATCACAGGGATGATATAGGGTGGCGCGGAAATCCTAAAGTGGAACTCATCGAAACGAAGAATTTATGATTAATATGTCCCACTGCGGTCGCAGGAAGTTTTCTCGTTTCACGTGGTGACAGATAAATACATAATAATTGGTAATTGCTGGGTGACTTTTGTTGATGAAAAATATAAAAGCATAGTCGAAAATGTTTATTCATTTTTTTATTTAGTAATTCGTGCAGCACGGTTTTTCAGGACTATTGTACCAGCTGAATATGGTTCCGACCAATTGACTTCTCTTAATTCCCATGGTAGAACCATGTTTAATAAAAATTAATTATCTCCAATTTTTCTATCGTGAAGATTCGCGAAACTTGATACGCGTGAAAATTTTGTTTTCTTCTATATATATAGAAGATATATAGACCAATATATATAGGCCTATATATATATAAGCCAAATATATATGTATATATTTTTAGAAATGACATTGAGGAGTCAATGGCGAATTAACGTGTGTTGTATATTTTTAGTGTTTTTTATACCGGGTGTCTCGTTAAATTCATAAATTGGACAATTGACAGTCGGCATGATCGACGTATATAGGATGACGTCGCCTATTAACTTTTTTAAGTTCAAACACTTTCAAAGTCACACGCGCATATTCGTAAAGCGATTATTACGCAATTCGGCTATGGGTCTAAATAAATACATTTCCATATACGCAAGTACATATGCACTCGACAGCCAGAATTTACACCCTTAAAATTTTGAGAATACCAACAAAGCAATACCTCTACTCTCCATATTCGAACCGCAAGACGGCATACTGATTACGTGCATCTTCTAGTATCGTTTTCGATCGTCCATTTTTTGCTATGCAAATTAAAGTAAAATAATTGTAGCATTTGAACAAGATTACGAAAAAAAATCCCCCAAAAAGTTGAGGGCAAATAAATAATTTTTAAATTATTTCTATTAAAAAAAAACATTGATCAAATATTAATATTAAAAAAACATTTCGTCTTTCAAATTTCTTTATCCACCTTGCAAGGTCTTCCTTGATAAATTTCTTTCAGATTACACTGAGAATTATTTCACGACAAAGAAAGACTGTTGTCAACATTAATCAAATTACGTAAAAACTTACGAATCGTTGAGAACAAGGCCAGGGCCCTGACAGTGAATAGGATTCGCGCCATGTCCTACGGTAGTTACAAAAAGCGCCGTCAGTTTCTCAGCGACCCAGTTAACTCGAGAGACTCGAAACGACTGACTCACCAGAGACTGACCGTCGAAAACCCGTCAATCCCCACGTCACGCTTATCTTTTCAACAAAATCCCGGACTCGGCATATGTTCAACATTTGAAGTCCCTCGACAGAATGAATGGTAGGACTGTACCTTCTGTCCATGAAAGCATTGCCATTGCCATTGCCATTGCCGCTGCTATTGGCATCTGAATAGGGTGGCTCAGAAAAGGGTGACTCAGGACGAATGTTTTTAATTAAAAAAAAAAACAAAAGAGATTCATGAAAAACGTGTTCGCTCACTCCTAACTTAAATATATTCTTAAAGACACATGAAAATCAAAGCACCCTGACAAATAACCAAAAATTGAATTAAATCGAGAAAACAAAACGAACATCTATGAATACCTATGAAAACTTATATCAATCCTAATAATCCCTACTGATCCTAATTCAAAGAAGAAATGTCAAAGGTTACCGTACAATGATCTTCAAATATTTTCTCTTATATCGGCAGCGTGTACAAGTGGCATCAGGTCAACGAAGTTAACAAGTCAATCCCATGTGACTCGTCACGCGATTTTTAAGGGATTACATGCCATTTTGGTTAAAGTAATGAACGAGACTAATGGCTGATTTGCGTTAATATACACAATGTATATTGTCCAATATGTATAGGTTTGAAATTACATGGAAAATGCCAAAGACTTATCGCTTAAGATATTCGAAGATGCTCTGGTTAGACCACATACAGAGGTATGCTTCAAACTTACCCTAAATCAGGAATGCCAACCGAATGCCAGGAATACTAGGAAAATGGGATGAGCCGTTCGAATTACTAGCTGAAAATAGGTGCTGAGCCAGAGTCACTTTTTGTTCCGTGTGCCATGGGGAACTTTTCAAGACAATGAAAAATCTCTTCCTTTGTATCGAAGGCCGACACTGACCTGATGTAGCCAGACATCTGCTTTAAACGTGTCGAGGGTCGTGCGATCGGATAAATAGATGGGACAATTAGTACAGCCATCTAATACAGTTACATTCACGTGCCCTTGCAATTCGTACCCCGTATTGACATTTGACAAATCGATAGAATTATACATGTAAGATAATACATAAAAAAAGAAATGTACAGTACATCAATTTTTCCACACATCATTGCATACGTGACATATGTTACGACCAGTAGTACCAGTACCGTAACGTATTTTTTTGAAATTTCGTTTGAGAAAATTTACGTACCAAAAAAACATGTATCATTCATAACTATTTCTTGTAATTCAGTGTATTAATCATATCCTGATTTTACATTAAATAGTTATACGTTCAATTATTGTGATTTTCACCATTTTTCGTGTTAATACAAATTTTATACAATATAAAAAATTTTTTATAAGTCTCGCTGGCGTCGCTATTTTTACCTGCCTTGATGAACAGTGTGTGAATTATGCGAAATCAATAGTGACGACTTTGTGTAGAGTTAGCGTTTGGTTTTTATAATAAATCATTATTAAAAAATAATCGATAAAACGGATAAGCTTCGTACAGAGGCCATTTCCTAAAATACATTCTTGGTACGTGAGTGAAAGGTGCTATAAAAATTATTATTATTTTTTTTTTATTAAAATACAATATAAATTCGTAGAATTCTTATGTTGGTCGTTATAGATATCCTTTTATACGCATGTGTCGTCCGCTTCTTCTTTTTATCAGTTTAGCTTAAAATACCTATCATTCTACTTAGGACTATTATGAAGGCACATAACAACACGAGAAAAATGTCTTTTACCTTTCTTATCATTATCAACACTAGGATAAGGTAAGGATTGCTTTGTTGGCACAAAGATTAACCATGTACACGATAAGATCGAATAATGATTAAAGGTACTCATAACGCAAATGATAGCGGAATTTCGCACGTGTTCAAAATCATAAAACTTATGATTATCCAAGCTTAAGATCTATAGTAAATTATTTTTCCTGCCTAAACTGTTGTCGTTGAAGTTGCGTGTCAGAACGAATGAAAGTGATTTTGAAATTAAAATGATGCGACAGGGAAATTACTTTTCAGGGAATTTTTTTCGTTTTTGAAGATACACGCAAAAAAGGCAACTATGGTAATGTGAATGAGAAAAAAAAACATATTGCAATAATATCGCGTGATCCTACAGCTGTGAATTATTTGTATACTGCACGCTATGTTTCGTGGGAATATATGTGCTTATACGCATATTTCACCAGTCATCCTTATTTCATTAGCTTTTACAAATTTGCTAACAGTCTTCATAATGTGGTCAACTATTAATAGGTTAAACCGTACATGAGATAATACCCGTACCGAAAAGGTCGTATAAGAATATATATATTTTATTACTGTTACATGTATTTAATACCTAAATCGGACTCTACACTGATGAATTACTTCATTCGTGTCTGAGTGTTTCTCTCGATTTCTTAAAAATTTTGTAAAATATTCTTTGTATTTCTTTTCCTTCTTATTCTCAGCCTTATACGTTACCCTGTACAGTATGCATATATATTTATGTGTGTGCTGCGGAAAAAGTATAGGAACTTTGACCGTACTATTGAGAATTCTGGGTACTTTTGGTCCGTTTTTCTATGTTATTGATGTGATTGAATTTTGGCATAGCTGCATTGGGACATGTATCTATGCCAACAACTGAGAAAGAATTGATTCGCATCTCGTTTCTGGTGACATTAAACAATATCCGGCTTTTTTTTTACAAAAACTTAATCGAGTTCTACGTACCGATTTTTCTTAACATTGTTCAGATTCGGTGTTTAAATTTTGTAGGTCCATAGACACTGTATCTATAAGATTTTCCTTGTGAGGTGCAACGCTGACTTGAGAATTCCTCTTTCCGATTCAACTGTCCTATTAGAGCATAAAGCCATAAAGGAAAAAGAAAAAAAAAATTTTCATTAATGCATTGCCAGTCATCGAATAAAATTGAAGTCAAGTTATTTTATCATTGAAATGATTTTTGGTTGTATTTCATTTTCATGAACGGAAAGTTTCTAGACTGGCCCATAGATCCAGTTGATTAACAATGCGTTTAAAGCAAGAAGTAAATGATATTTATTTAATATGATAAAAGACTATTTCTGATCGGTACAAAGAAATGTTATGATTGATAAACAGAATAAAAATTGATATTCATTTATTATCATTTGCAATGACTCAAATAAAAGAGTCAAATAGTAACGATTGAAAGACGACGACTTGAAAGGAATATACTTATGAAATACTGTGTCCAGGAAATTAGTTCAAATAAATATGACATTGAATAACCTATTGGTCTGATTAACCAACACTTATGAAGTTAATTTCAAATGTAAAATTGATTCAAAATCATTTCTATCATTTCGAGTTACGATTAAATTTGAAGCTCATTTAAACGTATAGAATGACTTCACAGACAAATTGATCCAAATAAAAAACTGTCGACCCTCATTCTTTGCTAAGAATTCAATTGATCACACGAAACCATGGGCATGCTATAAATTAATTCGACTTAAAAAATTGCGATAAAGTATTCTTAATAGAGTATTAAAACAAATATACAAAAACAAAGACAATATAAATGCATATAGGACCTGGAATTCAAAATTGCAAAAAAAATGAAAGATACAAACGAATAAATTAATTAAAATGAATAAATCTTATAAAAGTAACTAACACTCCATTCGAAACTTTCAGCACACATCATTCAAAAGCCCAACCCCGTCAGTTGTGTGGAATTCTTTCTCAATCGTTGGCATACAGTCATTGACACGACTATAATTTTGGATAAAGTTGACAATCGGCACGTGTATGAGCATCATCGTTGACATTTGATTTGTCCAGATAAATATTTTCCATCTTCTTGTCGGATGCCAAGGCTCTCTTTCCTTTTATCTATAATGATTATAGAATAAAATATAGATTTTGATAATTTATGATACAATTAATAAAGTCTCATGCTAAGCGATACTCACTCTTGAAATTTCGCGTTTCCTTTTCACCATATATAATGTTGGTATGCTCAATAATAACAGCAATCCAAGTATAATAATTGCCACACTAATATATAATCCTATACTGCGAAGCATTAACATTTGTCGCAAGGAATATGCGAGATCGTCAGTGGTTCCACTTTTCAAGTTAAACCAGAAAATTGGAAAATAAATTTTGGGAACGTCGTTGAACGTTCTGAAAAATTATACGAGACGTCGAATCCATTAGTGCAATGATAATAATTAGACGAGTAATAGAAACTAATATTTTTAAACGTACTTACGATACAAAATTTGACGGCTGCAGTAGAATATTAATTTGAAATCTAGCAGCAACGTCTATGGGAATTCCCGTCGTCTGAAATGTCATAGTTTTTCTTATATTTTTTGTATCAATATTATTTATCGTTATTGAATTTTTTTCATGATACTTACAGGTTCCAGTACAATGTAAAAATTGTGCTTCTCATCGTCTGGGTTCACACCTACAACTTGATCCCTGAGTATTGGATCAGCCTTATGAAAATGAGGTAGACTGACGAACCCTGGTGCTCCATAACGACAAGCTGTTATATTTATCAGCCCCATAGGGCTGCACTCCCCGTTACAGTAACACTGTCCAATATTCACGACATCTGGATCCTCCACAGATTCTATTACTTCGCCGGAATGCTCAGCGGTAAAGAAATCTTCAGTCGTGGTCGTTGGCTCAAAGTATTTTGCTTGTTCGTGAGGATATCGTCTCTTTGTGTCATTGCTTAAAGTTTTCTTGCCAACTGAATACTTGTAACCCTCGATACCTTGGTGATAAACAGTACGTTCATACTCGTACGTGACAGGTCTAAAAATCGTATGAGTGTTATTCTCCGATGGCAAAGAAAAAAATTTTTTTTATACATATTTGAATATTCCCGCCAATTCTAACCTGCACAAGTCCGCAGAGAATATCGTAATATCTTCCTCCGTCCTGAACGGCGGCCAGAATTCTCCAGCGCTACCCTCAACAGCATTACAAGGACTCTTATAATACTTGGTGGTGTCCTTGTGATTCCAAAACTTAAATAATCCTATATTTCTTACGTCATCCTCTCCAGTAGCCATATTCTGATAACCATCAAAATCCGTGGAACCGTTTCTCTGTATGGCAGGCAAAAAATAAATTACAGTTAACAACAAAGCATTGACACTGATATTCATGCTATGGTAAAATACAAACATTTTTAGCTGTCATTTGAATTAAAAAAAAAAATTGTATCCATGCTGACTCTCGTGCCAATGACATTATTGTTCTCGTAAAATGTACAAATGAATACACAATATGTCCATTACTTTTCATTCTGTATGCATGACCTATAGTCGACTCCTCCTATTCAGTGCCAATTCAGTACTTGTACTGAATTCTAACTCCATCAGTCAAATGACCGATATAAACAATAATTACCAGCCTTCGAATCACCGGTCCCCATCCTACTCTTACGTTCCTCACTAGCGTAAGTATAATTAAAGAAAAAAAAAATCATTTTCAAAATTTTTCATTCCTACCGTATAAAACCATCCGAACCGATCAAACGGCGGAGTTTCGTCTGTCATCCCTGCCAATTTTCCCAGATCGATAAGAACATCCTTATAGCCAGTAAAGAGTAACTCGTCCACAGTTCTTACCACGTGTATCTCTGGCGATTGTGATAATAAATACGATAAACTCGACCGCATTATGTAGGACGAATATCGAACTTTATGCACAGCTGACTGTAATCAATTATCAGTATCAAGGTTGTTCTCAGGTATAATGTCAAAGGTACGTAGCAAGACAAAAAAATTGTATCAAAAACTTACAACGGTGACAACGTTCAGTTGCGTTATATTGTCCTTTAAACTGCCTTTGCTATTTTTTTCATCGAAATACCAAAATCTCCTCTGAAGATAACTCACGGTACTGTTCTCAGGATTAAAAGTGATGTTAACCTTTTCCCTCTTCTCTCTGAGGAAAAAAAAAAAGGTTAGAGATATAATTTATCGAATCGACAAGTGGATTTAGATAATAAGTCGAATCAAGCTTTTCAATTCTAATATCAGCATATACGACACAGGTGTTCAAGAAGTGAGTTCAATAAGTCATTTTGAATCGCTGTGCCACATTGCTTGATGATAACTGACGTGACAATTGAGTATACAAGTCATTAGGCCACACGTATTGATGCAATCTGCCACAGATTCTATTTCAACCTTGAAGATCTTTGCGCCCAAGCTGCACACGTGAAATATGATACCTGACGCACGTATTTTAGACAACTGCATGTCTGCCGGCACGTATGCAGGACAGTGGTCAACAGGAAAGTAATTAATTAGACAATTATTAAATATAGACCATGAAATGCCGACTGGCTCGCTATATGACTCCCTACTTGCTGAATCATTTTATTGCTCGTTAAGATTGAAATATCGTGAGGTTAACTATTGCTTCGTTACTGCAATTGGATTTATTAATGGCTTTAATAATTTATCATAATAGGACACCCTTTAACTCTTTTCTTATATCGGCTCTTCTCTACCTTTAAGCATATATATCAACTGGTTTTGTAATTTCTCATTTTTACATATCATTCGTTTTGCTATGACGAGATCGATACCTGATAGTCTCGAAGATCATTCAAAGTATCGATCACTGGTTTGGTTCTGTGAATGACATTTGATTTTCTGTGGTTACACGAGAAACCGCAACAGCTGATATTGTTCATAGTCGAATTTCAACGGCCAAGGCCTTCCGTAAGTAATATCGGATTGCTTGTAATGACTTTTTTGTTTGTTTTTAAGAGAAAATTTTTTCTTATACTCACACGAAGCTGTATGGACCAACTTCGACGAGAATCGGTTTCTTTCCGGGTATCTTTAACTCGTTTGGATTGGTCCAGTTGAAAAAGTAAAATTCCATTGTGATTGGTATCGCGCTACTGTTCTTCCACGCATTGTAACTTTTTGAGGTTGGTGACAGCACAAGTTCCTAGAATAAGAATGAGATAAAAAATATGCCTGATAGAGGAAGACAAAGTTTCTCTTTTGATTAAATGCTGATTCGTCGATATGACAAAAAAAACAAATTTATCATAATATACTTTTTCAATCGTTACGTGTAAGTTGATTGGGCCAATTACTGACTGGTGATCGCAAAGTCCTTGAATGCATGCATTATACCGCGATCGTAAATATGTTTCTGGTTACATAGAAACTCACGGGGCAATCGATTAAGAAGAACCTGATGATAATATCTTGCGACGTATTAAGTATTGGCTGACAGCTATCTTGAATTTGTAAATGATAAAAAAAAATATAAACTTGAGAAAGATTATATGTTAATCACGGTTGCCATCACTGGCACGATAATTATATAAAATGAAAGTACCTGTATATATTATACGAATTAAAAAAAACTCGACTGCTTAAATCCAAAGTAAAAAAATGTTTAAACCAGCCAATACCTATTGTTAAGTTGCCAGTAAAAAAATTTAAATAAAAGTAATCATGAAAAAAACACGTCGTTAACGTTTCACTCAATTGAAATATTTTAAACTACTCGTTTTTTACACGATTCTAAATAATAAGCATTTTATATATCCTCACAACCTCCATATCACCTTAGAGACATAATTCACAATTAAAAGAGATACATTGATAACAAGCAAAACCTGTATCCACCATTTCTCAAGGTATTCCAGAGCAAGATTCTTCAATATCTCTTACATAAGAATAAACAAAATATTTACCTGAGTAAGAATCCTTCGAAATAGAATTGGCCAGTAATAGCCTAAGAATGTTCCCAGCAAGACAAACAGCAGTCCCAAAATGCCTAAAGTAACCGGTTTGCTCGTACGCGGCCTCATAGCTAGATTAAGAGTGTTTGAGGGTATTCTGAGTTACGTAGGTCTACGCATGTGCATCCCTTCGAAAAACGAAGTACCGCTTCCCGTCCGCCAACGTCTCTCAAATAAGTCAACCAGCTCTGTGACTATCCAATGTGGCCAGTGCTATACGTTCCTTGAGATCAACAGATAAAAAATATCTAATCTTTACGCCCGACCAGCAACTAGCCAGCACACGTGTTCAGTCTACGGAGTGTCGTACCGCTGCATATAATATATCCAAACACTACGTCACAGAAATAAGAGTCCGAGAAAAAAATTGAAAGACCGACTAAATATGACGTGAAAAGACTAAATTTACATTTTTCGGAGCTCTCGTTTATCATGTATACGTATGAAATGTGAAATAAACTGCTTTAACGTCTACTTCGATATGTTACGCAAAACACGTAACCCATCACCTGTTCACCAGTAGTATTAGCCACGGATCATCCATTGTTAATGATAATCTTACGTAACCCATTTAACACAGCCTCTTGTGCATCGACACGTTTTACACTTCAGATTGATTATTATTGATTTTCTACATAATTTATAATGTCATTCAGATGCTCGTATCGTGATGTGACGACTGTTTTGTGTCACGTGTCTAGGAAATGCTAGCGTGCATGTGAGTCACTGTGTTAAGTGCTTTTAACCAAAAGTTACAATATTCGTATGCCAGTTTTTATTACGTAATGACATAACGCGCAAAGTTCGACAGTGGTCCCAGTGCACGAATAAATTTGTGCCAATCATTGAAATGAGGCGGGTAATTCGAATGCAAAAAAATATATTTTTTCCACCTGTAACGACCAGTATTATAATGACAAAACTTCGAGTCACAAAGCCACTGTCTAGCTGAACGTAAGGACGCGTGTATTTTTATTAGCGATACTTATGTACGTAGAATTAGTCGAGTAACAAGGCGCGTTCGCACGGAGGACAAAGACACGAGGGCAACTGTCGTAAAACTCAGTGGAATCTCAAAAGGAAATTATTGAGAGATAAGCAATATTTGATATGCCATTATGCATAGTTAGCACGGGAAATCGAGTTTGCGTTAAGATGAAGACAATGCATTTACACCAAGTGACATTGCAGGGTCATAGGTCAGAAATGAATTGACGCACACACGTGTAGTATAGATATATATAAATATGTATGTACGAGATAATATTGTTTACCCCCTGTACACAGCTTCAGACTTTTTGAATAAAACTGACAGACATAACATACCACTGTTATCACTTCCTCACAGGAAATCCATGACAAAAGATCGTTAGACACATCAGACGTTTTTAACGTTAAGTATTCATCGAACTCACTGGGAGCAGTTTTTTGATCAAACTGAATTTTACTAATGTAAAAAATATACTGAGGTACGGATAGAAGAGCAATTTGGAATGATATAGAAAGAGAAAAAATAAAAATGTGTACGAACCTTGAATCATACGTGGGATGGTACTCTCGTCTTCGTCATATGAGGTCACTGTGTAATTACGTTAATTACAATAATACTGTATAAACTCCTTGAAGATCTTCTCGGACGACAGAACAAAGACGAACAACGTATCAATTAGTAATTGACTTTCAAATTTGAATGCTACTTCTTTGGCTAATGGCCGATGAATCCGAGGAGACGTCAAGTACTGCAGCAAGAACAGTTCACCGATAAATATCAACACAGAGCATAGAACAACCCCAACCTCTCAGCCATCCCCTCCAATCATTCAACATGAGCCTCCCACCTTCTTTTAACAGCGATCCTCCTCGTCGCCAAGTGTCCCCCTATCTTCTCCGAAGTTTTTGTCTCAAGACCATCTAGCAGTAGTAAGCATTCTATGTCCGAGACAAGAAAAAGATTATCCAGCAACATTAAGATCGTTGAGTAAAATTGTAAAATGGTATGTCTTACATTTTTGAAAAAACCTTTTGCTGATTCTTGGACATACGTAGCACGAAGGATTCCATTAGGAATCTGAAGATTTTTTTTAAGGTATAAAACTCTTTAAACCTTATTCGCATGGGTTTCGTGTGATCTGTACTGGGCCAGTGGATGATGCAATGCGTGATTCTCGACCATGATCTTATTAAGCAACGTATGTGAAATTGTGGGAGGTAGTAAGCCAGTGTAATGGTCCCCACTTTTTGTAATGTTATCAATGAATATTGGTGAGTAGCAGTAGCGTACGTATTTGAGGCGCTTTGTAAAGGCGAAACATTTCTGTGGACAGAGAAGAGAACGATTAGCATCTGCTGATACAAAAGAAAAAGAGATGACACACAATAAAGAGAGATAACCTACGAGAGACTCAGATAGCCAAAAGGGAGATATTCGGCTTCTGAAATATTTCAGCAAAATGACAGTATCGTGTTAAGTGTGTTCTTATTGTGCAGGCAATATGCTGGCACATGACGCTTATGGCTGTAAGGAAGAAAAACTAGTGTAATAAAGGTTAATATTTGTCTTCGACGTGTGTGATCGAGCCGACTCGAAATTTAAGGCTTTCATTGCTTCCCACAACAGAACTGGGTGAATGACCTCCTAAATAATTAGAGGCGGAAGTCACGTGTTCATTTTGAAAAATAAGTCCGAATAACCCTACTCCATTGTTTCATACCGCACTAGCGCCACCCGCTCGACTAATCGTTGCATCGACCTTCGAACTTTCGACTCTGCAACTCAGACAAGCTAATCGATCATGAAGAACGATCAAAAATTTTTATACAAATTATCTATTTATCGATTACCGTTTCTTACGACGTTCTAGTCTCTCACTTGGTCTTCTAAGAATATATTTATATATCGTTTTCATACCATTGAACGTTACGTTATCTGTTTTGTGATATCCGACATGACGCTGATAAAATATGCTCATTCGTTGTTCATTGCACAACGTCGAACTTGCGGAGATAAGAGTATACCGTACATATTCTATACTTTTATCTGTACTGTATCGTATGTACATTATAAATATACTATATATATGAAATTATACTGCATATACTGTACTCTCATGTTTACTTTTGTACAATTCTTCTATTCACATCCCTACAGTATATTCAATACAGACGAAGGCGGTTGAAAATATCTTATCTGCTGTTGGGTAGTAAGTTATCCATTTACTATTTGTAATACTATCCCTAGTTTGGAGGATTAAGGGTAGTGCTTATGAAGCCTGTCAAAATCTAGACACTTTTTTCTGCAAGCGAATGTTGTTTCGTCATGCGGTATTATATTTCTTGTGTCAAATCCAATATTGAGTCAATTACTATTACTCACCGTTTCATAGGTACGGGAGACTTTTACGAGCTAGTATAATAAATACGCCATAGGAAATTGAATAAGGTTATTATCCATACGTCAGATCGGATTGCTGGTTTGGTGTATCGGAATACGGGGGAAGGTAGACGGATAATAATCCTGTTAAGGGATGATTTTCATTGGAACAGATTGAACTCGCATTTACTGTGAATAGAATATCAATAATTTAGTTTTTTAAGTTATCATATATAATAAAAGTATGTAAACTTTCTTGATATCGATTCTATGATTCACGTTTTTTTATTTTTTTTTGTATTAAACTTTTTTTTAAGAATAAGTACTTACAAGGAAACCGTTTCCGATGTCCCCCTTTGACTTTGTTTATTTTGAGATATGTTATTCTTCATCGAAATTGAAGTGACACGTATTTTTTTATCGGCGGAAAAACGGGTGTTAAGGGGGTCAAATCAACCTCCAAATTTGTGCACCTCCAGTGATAATTTTGCAGTTTCGCATATTTTTATTTGAGATATCTAAATGAAACTAATTGGAAGATAAAACTCATGGCGAATAATGAAAAATGTATTTTCTTCGATTTTTAGAGTGTGGAATTATACAGATTTATTGGGTTTGAAAGTTGTAAAATGATTATAACAAAAAACTATTCATTGTATTTCAACGAAACCAATTTCATTTGAAAAAGCTAAAAAGGTAGGAAATGCATGTCTTTGCGCTTCATGGAAAAAGAACGTTTAAATAGTGAACCACCCCTATTCATGTGCAACCAAATTTGCATTTCTAATTCTTTTAACATTCTTTTTATGCGTTCGTTAAGGAGCTTATTCACAATTACAACGTTTGATTGCATTTTTGACAAAAACTACCCTTTTCTGACCCCCGTCTGGCGGCTATATTTGTACGCTCGTAAAGTCTTGTGCCATTTCAATTCCAAGAGTTCCAAGAGTTTGAAGGTCGATAGTTTTATTTTTTATAAAAATGTTTCAACTTTTAACCCCTGTAAATCTGTATAATTTTACCCCATCATAATCGAAATAAAATGCATTTTTCATTATTTGTCGTGTGCATTGATCTCTAATGGTTTCATTTATTTATCTCAGCTGGGACTATTGCTGGAACGGCCCAACTTTGGGAGTAGATTTCAATCCTTAAAACTGGTCGATGAATAATAACATATCTCAAAATAAGCAAAATCAGAGACATGAGATACCGGAAACAATTTCCTTGTTAGTCAATATTGTGTTTCCTTTGCTAATACAGTGTTTCGCCATTAAACGTCTTTTAAGGCAAGATATGTATATATATCACGTACTGTTTACATATGTATTACGTTGTCTCGTAGAAAATGGAACGCTAAGAAATATTATATTATTTTAGAATGAGCCATTTTTTATATTACCTCATACCGAAGCTCAATGATACGCTGACGTAACATATTCGTTCTTTAGTTAACCATTTATCACAGATTTTGATAATTCGATACCATTTAACGATTAACAGTACGACAATAAGTTACAAGTGATGTGAGCAATTTTGTTCTATACTAATCTAAATATATCGGGAAATTTTAAATACATCATAGCTAGCAATGTCGTGGACGACTTCCACAGGGTAATGACCATTTCAAATCCTCCAACAACGAAAATCCCACTACCATTACTTGGCTTATTATTATACCTCAGTCCCGTAAATAAAAGCGTAACACATGTACATACAATATTTATACTGAATATACAACATACAGGGCTACCCAGAAAAGATTAACCAATAAAATTATACAACAGTTTTTGTAACAATATTGGTTGGAACTTCTGGCTAGCCATGTTAATAACAATTAGTAAAATTTTTTATATAGCAATAGAAACTTGAATGGTCCGTCAAGATGAAAAAGGAACGTTCGTAGGTAAAATTTAATTCTATCTGATCATTTAATAATCAAATCACATAAGTGTAGAACAAACGAGTGCAGCAGTAACTATTCTTCCTTTTCGTCTAACGTGAATATACAAATTTGTTTATTATAATACACGCAATGTGTGCCCATTGTGTGTATGAACATACCTCATCTTTATAATCATAATTTTTATATTCTTTTCTTAAAGTAGAATCCAGAGTAAGTGTTAGGCACTTTGTATCTCACTTAACCCGTTTACGCTCAAACTGGCATGAAAGTTTTTCATTTTTCAACAGTTATACTTTTAAGGTAAAAGTTATTCAATCTTGATGAAACTACATGTCTTTATGTATTTTTGTCTGCTCTTTCTGAATCTGACCTCAGATTGACGATATTTGCCGCCATTTTTAAAATACGGCAGTTTAAATCTGAAAAAAGCAAAAAATTTCATTTTTTTTTTTCAAATAATCATGAATCTGAACCAGATTCCGTTATCGGAGGGCGATCAAACTCTGGATCGGGTGGAATACGACCTTAACTGTTGGAAAATGAAAAACTTTCATGCCAGTTTGGGCGTAAACGGGTTAAGGTTGGCTGTCTGCCACTAGTTAATATTTATACAGTCCATTGTCGTGCGCAGTCCCGTTTTTAAGTTATCGCTAAATAAAAGCAAAGATCACTGGTGCTACAATTTTTGTTCATATATCAACCGAAACACCTACGTTTCTGTTAGCATGGTTATGATTGCTTTTTGATATGACAGTATCATTAAATGAAGTTAATTAAAAATCATCCATCGATTATTGGTACATCATTGTTCACCTCCTTCGTTATTAGTCTCTGTTGCCCATCATTATTGCCCCATCTTCCTCGGATAAGTAAGGCAATGCCGATGAAGAAGAGAAGTACACCAATTGCAGCAATACCGTAAAATGTAACATAACCTAGCGTTGGAAGTATTAGAAGAAACGTGATTTGGCTTGCGTAATTACTAGACAGATCAGCCTCTTGTTTAAACCACATCATGGGAACATACGTTTTTGGTATATTTCTGAAGAGTCTGTAAAGAGAATAATAAAATATGGTTAAATTCTACAACAAACATATTTTTGTAGCTTTTGTTGAGTTATACTCACGACATAGCATTGTCTGGCTGTACCAAGACATTGATTTGTAACATGGCCCTGATCTGTAGCGGTACCCCTGTTGTCTGAGAACAATTGAAAATATGATTTTGTCCTTCAAGTATTTGTTAAATTATTCTTTTCTAGCATATCTTAAACAATACTTTCAGTATCTATTTGCCACGTTACTGTGTACAGAATAATGTATATATATAATTTTCTTACTGGTTCGAGAGTAATTGAGAATTCATGCTTTTCTTTATCTGGATTCATTCCCGTAATGGAATCTCTGTAGCTCTCGTCAGCCAGGTAAAAATGTGGTAAACTAATAAATGCTGGTGCTCCAAATCTGCATTCAGAAACGTTCAAGACTCCACTAGGTTGACATTCTACTCCCTCGCAAAAACATTTTCTGGATGGAACGTTGGTTCCATTGTCGAATATGTTGTTATCGGAAATATATTTGTTTCCAACCAGGCCTTGGTATACCGTTGTGTTCTCCATTGTCAATGATAACGATCTATCGTTATCAGCATGCAGATAATTATAGTCTCGCTGATTTTCTAATTGGTGGATTATAGACTATCAATTAAACATACTTACGTGCATAGATCAGATGAAAATATTGAGACTGTCTTGTTGTCAGGCAGTGGCGGCCATAAGTCACCGTTTGTACCATTTAAAATGCCACAATACCCAGAGAATTCTGTTGTATTACTATAATTCCATTTTTCAATTACACCCATTTTGTGTACATCTGTGGCTCCAGTGAACATATTAAATGTACCATCATATGTTTCTGAATTATTGCGCTAGAATAATATTATTATTTCTTATGCATTTCTCTTTGTTAAATATTTTGTTGTGTCTGAACTTACGTCATAGAACCAGCCAAATTTATCATATGGAATTCCTGAGTAATTTAATGCTAATCCCATTTCTAGTAAAGGATCTTTGTATCCATCAAACAGAAGTTCACCCGCAGTCTTTGTAGTAATTCTGGTTTCGCCTGTAGTTCTTATTAATGTATTCACAAATTGTCGTACCAAGGGTGAACGATGCCTGATGGAATATGCAATAGTCTATGGGGGATAACTTTGGATTACAAAAAAAAAAAAAGCTAATTTTGTAGAGAATAAAATGAACGTACGGTTGCTATGACATTTAAATTGGTAACTTTATCCAACAAGCTGCCTTTTGACATGGATTCCTCAAAATGCCAAATTCGTTTTTGTTGAAAAGTCACAGTACCATTATCATGCCATACTTCATTTACTTTATAATCAACTTCTCTAAAACAAATAAATCACAAATAAAATCAGTAACCTGATTGCATGAGTGCTCAGAAATATATTAATACCACATACTTAAATACGTAAGGACCCAATTCAACAAAATTGGGTTTTGTAGTAGCAGTGGAACTGAAGTTGTCAGCATTTGTCCAATTAAACAAATATATCTCCAAATACATAGGTATAGGAGTTTCTTTCCAAATTCCAAAAGACATAGACGTTGGTGAAAGTATTAATTTCTGCAAGAAAATCAAATCATCATATTACACTTCCACAATGTTACCTATCTACTTTAACATACAGTTTTTCACATACACGAAATAGGATACTAGTGAATAAATTAGGCCACAAAATTCCCAATGCAAGGCCAACCGATAAAGCAGCAACAGCAAAACCAAAGATGATACCTAGCTTTACAGATGTAACAGGCATCTTACATGGAGGAGCGACACTGTAAAGTAACAATCTTTAGATTAATCTATTAATTAGCCACAATAATCTTATATATTAATTACAATTTTTTTATTAAAAAATCGGATCAAATTTCATCAAGAATACTCAACAAATTCATAATTATCAAATATAAAACTTATGAACACTCTCCCAGCAACAATACCCGAATTTAAATGTTTCAAAATTTCATGCCCTTACTTCTGCTGGTGAACGTCCTCAGACCCTCCCGAAGGAACTAACGATTCCGTTGACATGTTAGTACTCAATTTGCGTAGTAAAAATGCCTAATAATTCCTTTAAAATTCAGCACACAAACGTCAAACACCTAACAGATTCATCGTAAGTATCCGTACTGTCTCGCAAATATTATAAAGATAGTTTACCACTCCTTTGAACTATCAAATTGACAGGTAGTAACTGACAATTAAAATTACAGTGTCACGTGTAACCTGAACAGAATTGGAGAATTTTTCGCAGCTGATAAGACCATAGCAACCGTGTACGTGCTCGCATCTATCGAAACAAGTATCCAACAAAATTGTAAACCTGAGATAAGCTGTCCAAAACTCTGATAACCTTGCTCAGTAACTTACAGTTACTTGTAATCGCATGACTGACTGGGATACGAGCTCGCGCACTTTCTCTGACTACATACAAAATTTCAGACTTCCCCACTGCAGGTGCTATGTCGCCGCCTAGTGGCAAATAACGCCATTACGATTGTACGGCGAGTTGAAATGAATAATTAAAATAAAATCATGATTCCCTGTGCAAATCAAACTTCAATGTTTTTGGATTCTTAGACTATCAACAGCTAAATAAAAATTATACATATCCTAAATAATATGTAGAAAATTTTCAGTATATTCAAATTTAAAGAATTTCAAATTATAAAAATGATATAGCCAAGAAAAGATATGAGAGAATTCCTCAAGGTCCGCACTCTAGACGTCTTACGTTTCACACAAGACAAAACATCCGAACGACATCCGAATTATGTTTGCAGTGTCTTACTGACTTTCGGTTGAAAAATGCTACATGTAATACATCCGGTAAACGTCTTATGCAGATGTTCTTAAACATGACGCAGCATGACATTTTAAGAATGTCGTTTTAATGTTGGCATTTGTGTTGTACATTATTCTTTTTTACCATTCATTATTATTATAATATATTTTACAGTTATTACCTACTATACCTTTTGGGAACCTTATACACGCGTGTAATCGTCAATATGCTGTTTGCTTTATCTTACTTTCTACATTTAACAAGTGCGTACATTCATTGAATGTTTTTTAACCTGTCAGCACATGCATCATTCCTACCGCGTCAAACTTTCATTGTGTGTCAGTTTATAAATTATGTTGCCTTCGAGAAATGCTCATAGGACAGCTCCTCCCGGCTTAAGCCAACCAGTGAGTATGCCGCTACATGACTGATAAATGGGCCATCTACCTCATAAGAATAGTGAAGCAAATTGTCAGATGGATATTAGAAATACATCCTATGAATGACAGGTAGGATGTGAAAAAAAGACGGACAGAAAGACATCCGTAGGTGGGACAAACATACTTTAGAATGACTTCTGCAGGATGTCATTTGTGGATTTACGGATGTCTATTATATGTCAGTATGTGCGATTGACGACATGTGTATAATGTATTTCTAACATCCCAGTGTTGTGCAGAATACTTGTAATGTAAAACTAAAATACGAAAATGTTACAAAATTCAGAAAATTACTGATTCAACGCAAAGATCTTACAGATGAGAATACAGTTAATATGACAATCAAAGAAATTTGCTCGTTTATCCTTCGATAACACTCATTCCGCTGAGAATCTAAGTTCCCATGGGGCGGAAAATATTAACTAAATCTTTATGATAGTTAACAAAACCAAAGCGAAGAGATTCCGAGAGAGAAAGTTTGCGATATCACAGGTCAAGAGACTCACCTAAAAATGATGATAACGCAAAAGATATAAATTGGAGACTACTCCCGTCCACAACACGACTTGTCAAAGAATGCCGATTCTTCTTGCTAATTTCATCAGTGAAGTGTCCCCACTTTTTTGTCATGCAGGTGTTCGCTGGTCTTCGCTAACTTTTTTTCGTCGCCATCTACCGTTTCAAGTAGTGTACCACTATTTGAAATATCTTTCGAGTCCTGCCTTAAGATTTTATTTGATGTGTTAAATTTTCGCGATAAGTATCATAACCGTGAGACGATTATTCTCTACGAGAATCAAGGACCCCAGTAAACATACACGCAGCCCATAGTCCGGTACGATACCCTGATCCTCAGGGATGGGTTTAGAGGGTACCATAGTGGTTGGATCTTTTTTTTAAAAACCTTATAATTTTTCTGGCTGGGCTCTGGCTTCTTGATGAGACTCCTTTCTGGACAATCCTCCCCGTAGACCAAACTTATGGAGTGAAGGAGACTCCCCCGGTTGACGACAGTCCAATACTTCATCGGGTACCTAGGATTTCGGTATCTCCCCTTCTCGTGTCGATCGAGACCTTTTTTTCTGACGGTAGATAGACCGCGAATCGGTTCATGCAATTGCCATCAACTCCACCCGTGGCTATCGTGACTCTCCTGCCTTTCCTGCTGCAGGTCTATAGAACGATAATTCGCCAGGAATTCTATGACTTAATCTCGAGTTCGGCCTTGGTATCGACAACACAGGATGACAGCAGCAACTATTCACGCTTCCTTTCGTGAGTTGATTTCAGATACGGCTGTAGCACAGCAGCTGTACAACAAAGTAACTTCCTTTTGGATGCTCCTCACATGGTCGGCAATATGGTTGAGGTGCGTTACAAAATAAATTTGTAAAAAATAATTAAGATACAGAAATTGTAAAATTATAAGTAAACCGTGGAAAAAATAAAATTGAAGTAAAAATGAGGGAAAGTAGGATTTTGTTAACAATTGCATAACATTGCAATAAATAAATACAAAAAAATTGCAAAAGGCTTTTCCACCGAAGATTATGAACTTTCAAAATAATTGGTCCATTGGTCTCGACTTCAAAAAGTAGGATTATTTAAAGGGCAAAAAGTGAAGAATATTTTATAGTCATTCCTGCGTGCAATAAACATTAAAAGGTAAGATATTTAAGGAAAATGAATATATATAAAAAATAATAAAAAATTTTACATAAATACAAGTAAATTCCAGAAAATCGGTAAAATGATAGCTATTTACAATACGCAGTAATTACAAAAATGTATGCGATGTTCTTCGCTTACAGGCTTTGCACGGAACGTACAATGCGGACGGTGTTCTATCAATATAGGTAAATCTTATTTTAATCATAAAGCAGAAAAATACGAAAACAAAAACTCTCATCCTGTATTAATAGAAGTACCTAGATTTCTATAAAAATGATTTAATTTAAAATTCATCGACGATCGGTGATACGTCGGTTTTCACCTTCTTCGCTATCAGTTTTTGTTCTTCATTATGGCCTCGTCTTCTTCGAACAAATAAGACACTACCAATGAAGAAGAGAAGTACGCCAATTCCAGCAATACCGTAAAATATAACGCAACCGAGCGTTGGAAGTATTAGAAGAAATATGATCCCGCTTGCATAACTGCTAGGCAGATCAGCCCTTTGTGCAAACCACATCATGGGAACATACGTTTTTGGTACATTTCTGAAGAGCCTTCAAGGAGAATAATAAAATATGGTTGGACTGTACAACAGATATATTTTTGGAATTTTTGATGAGTTATACTTACGACATAGCATCATCTGGCTGTACCAAGAGACTGATTTGTACCGTGGCCCTAATCTGTATCGGTATCCCTGTTGTCTGAGGACAGTTGAAAAGATAATTTTATCTTTGAAGTATTTGTTAAACTTACTAGTTTATACTTTCAGTATCCATTTTCCACGTTATATATACAGGGTGTCCCAGAATGAAAAGATATGGAGTACACCATAAAGAAAAAGAGGAAAATCTGAAACAAAAAGTACTGATCCACTTTTTTTACCGAGCTTTCTTCTTAAAGTTATAAACAATTAAAGATAACCAATCAACGCACGACTGTACCTGCTGAGCATCCCTTTGTCACCCCACTTTACGCGTTCTTGGATGGTCAGCGGGTATGTACGTCCGCGCATTGATTGGCTAACTTTAATTGTTTATAAGGAAGGCTTGGTAAAAAAAATGAATCAGAACTTTTGTTTCGGATTTTCCTCTTCTACTTGATGTTCTACTCCATATCTTTTTATTCTAGGACACCCTGTATAATTTTCTTACCGGTTCGAAAGTCATCGAGAACTCATGCTTTTCCTTATTTGGATTCATTCCCGTAATGGAATTTCTGTAGCTCTCGTCAGCCAGATAAAAATGTGGTAAACTAATAAATGCCGGTGCTCCAAATTTGCAGCTAGAAATATTCAAGACTCCACTAGGTTGACATTCTACTTCATTGCAAAAACATTTTCTGGATGGAACGTTGGTTCCATTGTCGAGCATGTTTTTATCGGATACATATTTGGTTCCAACCAGGCCTTGATGTACCGTTGTGTTCTGCATTGTCAATGATAACGACCTATCGTTATCAGCATACAGATAATTATAGTCTCGCTTATATTCTAATTGGGGAATTTTAGACTATCAATTAAACATACTTACGTGCATAGATCAGATGAAAATATTGAGACTGTCTTGTTGTCAGGCAGTGGCGGCCATAAGTCACCGTTTGTACCATTTACGATTCCACAATATCCAGCGAATTTTGTTCTATTACTATATTTCCATTTTTCAATTGAACCTATTTTATGTATATCCGTGGCCCCAGTGAACATATTAAATATGCCATCGTATGTTTCCGAATTATTGCGCTAGAAAAATACTATTTATTTCTTATGCATTTCTTTCATTGTTAGATACTCTGCTGTGTGTGAACTTACGCCATAAAACCAGGCAAATTTATCAAATGGTATTCCTGAGTAGTTAGCTACTGACCCCGCTTCTAGCACAGGATCTTTGTATCCATCAAAGAGAAGTTCACCAGCAGTTTTTGTAGTAATTATGGTTTCTCCAGCAGTTCTTATTAATGTATTCACTGTTTCTCGTATAAAGCGAGAACGATGCCTGATGGTATATGCAATAGTCTATGGGAGATAACTTTAGATTACAAAAACAAAAAGAAAAGTTAATTTTGTAGAGAATAAAATGAACGTACGGTTGCTATGGCATTTAAATTGGTAACTTTATCCGACAAGCTGCCTTTTGACATGGATTCCTCAAAATGCCAAACTCGTTTTTGTTGAAAAGTCACAGTACCATTATCATGCCATACTTCATTTACTTTATAATCAACTTCTCTAAAACGAATGAATCACAAATAAAATCGGTAACCTGATAGCATGAGTGCTCAGAAATATTGATATATTGATATACCACATACTTAAATACGTAAGGACCCAATTCAACAAAATTAGGTTTTGTAGTAGCGTGAGAATTAAACTCGTCAGCATTTGTCCAATTAAACAAATACATCTCCAAGTACATAGGTATAGGAGTTTCTTTCCAAAATCCAAAAGATATAGACGCCGGTGAAAGTATTAATTGCTACAAGAAAATCGAATCATCATATTACAGTTTCACAATGTTACCTATTCATTTTAACAGACAATTTTTGACATACACGAAACAGGATACTAGGGAATAAATTAGGCCACAAAATTCCCAATGTAAGGCCAACCGATAAGGCAGCAGCAGCAAAACCGAAGATGATACTTAGTTTTACAGACGTAACAGACATCTTATTCGGAGAAGTGACACTGTAAATAAACATTCTTTCGATTAATCTATACATTTAGGTACATCTTACATACATCTTAGGTACATCTTAGGTACATCTTACATAGTAGAAGTTTCGTCAAGATAGGGTAGCGATGCAAGACGGGACAACGTCATCTAGAAGAAACTAAAGGTACTATAGTATGCACGTGCAGGCATCGAGTGAGGGTGGCGGGGAAGGGCGTCAGTCTGTGGGTCTGTAGACAACAGCGGTAGGGATTACGTGTCTCGAGGTTCTTCTAGATGACATTGTGCCGTCTTACTACGTTACCCTAATTATTATTATTTTGTTATCATATTTGAGAAATCCGTATCAAGAATATTGCTCCTCAAATTCATCAGTCAAATAAAAAACATTCTCAAACATTCTTCCAGCAACAACGCCAAAATTCAAAGGTTCCAAAATTTGGCGTTCTTATTTCTGCCAGTGAATGTTCTACGGCCAGCACTTTCTGCGGAAATTTACAATCCGTCAGCATAACGGTATCCTAATTTCCCAATAAAAATACATAATAATTCTATTTAGGGTGCAGCAGGACAAACATCAGACATCTAAAAGATCCATCTTATGTATCTGTCCTACACTGTAAATATCAAGTAAATAGTTTATTGCTAAAAATCACAGTCGCACGTCTAACGTGAACTAAATTCGGTAATTTGCTACGGCAGGCTATAACAACCGCGTACGTGCTAGCAGCTATTAGAGTAAGTACCCAACAAATCTGAAATTGAGATAAACTTTTTGAAAAGCCTAATTCCCTACAGTCACGGGACTAAATTAGATAAGAGCTGACGCAATTGATAATTCGAAAGTAGAAACTTCACTAAAATGTCTCCCACAACATTCTCTCTTACAGATTTAAGACAATAAACATTATTTTTAAGCAGATAACAAAATCTGATCTTTCTGACAGAAATGGAATTTATCTCTTATTGATCGATCATAAACATGGATTATTCATTCTGCATTGTGGTAGTTACAGACTAGTCTGTTCATGCTTTCCTTGTTGTCGATTGCAATCAACCGCTTGTCCATTCGTACCAAAGCAAATTTCCTATAGTCTGTCTTTGATAAGACAGAAAAAAAAGCCCAGGGCTCTCGAGATTTATTTTGGTAAGTAATGCCTTCAGTTTAACGGACTTTTAATTTTGTTTACTATTCAAAATACAATAAATCACTCTTTCTTATCAATCGATAACACACGAATAAGACGACTTCGTTATTCTAACTGATGACAAAGATGAGTGATTTAATATTATTCATACGAATGTTATATACACAGGACTTTTATTATATTTGTATAAAGTTTCTTATACAAATTTAATAAATAACTTTGTGCCAACATTAATTCAGACCAGTATATTGTCTCTACAAAGTTTACTAAAAGTATAAATAAATTCAATACGGCCAGGATGTGTCATTGCTATCGAGAAAAACCGATACCATAGAATTATGAAATGCTACTGTTCAACTGCAGGATATAATAGCCGTAACAATCTTATCTACAAGTACATATAAATAGAAAGGAAATATGGCAGAGTTCATTAACATAGCAATACATACAGCACCAAATATTTGGATATGTTTTAGAGACATAACTGAAATATATCAATCTGTTTGCTTACATCACGCAATAAAATAACTTTTTCTTTCATCATAAACATACTGCGACGTTATTCCATTCAGAATATATACGTTCGAAATGGCCATAAAATATTTCTTAACCGTCATGAGTCTCGCGTCTGCGTATAAGAGTCCCGAGAATAATGTCAAGGTCAACTTGTCAAGATTCACGGAAAAAGAGAAACTGCAACAAAGTGAATCTAGATGTGCTACATCGATCCACTGAAATTCTTTGTTGTCACACAAATATTGATCCTGTTGCATTAGTAATCTTACATAGAAGACGGGTTGCTATTTTCTTCATTTTCATCGATGATTTCCATTTCCACGGCGTCATCGATTACTGCAGCGACCATTGTGAAGCAGTTAGTTTCTTTCTCACAAACTAGAGAGGCGGAAGTCAATTTAACAATTTTTTATTGGCCAATTATGAATTTCGTAGCCCATACTATTTTTCTACATAATATACGAAGCACTGATGTCAACAAATTATTTAAGTGTTTTTGTGCTCGATCCTGACAGGACGGATAATCGAACTTCGTCACGAATAATTATTTTAGCATCAACGTACCGACTACACGAGAATTTAAATCCTTACTGAAGACGCTTACGTCTTCTGTTTTCATACACTTACGTGTTCGCTGCGAGAAACTATTGCAGATGAAATTTATCAACAGTTTGCCAATGGACAAAGTCCATGATCATTCGGTCTCCGGTTTCACTTCGAGTTTTAGTAACATGATAATACTTCTATTGGTATATCGTTGTTTTTTAATAACACACTATGCACAATCTATGAATGCAGACCCACCTAGATAACACAATGTGTCCGTGCAAAAGTAGACTCATTTTTTAATCAAGATTTCTTCCTTATTTTTGTTATTAAATAAAAATATACAAAATTGACTGAGCATACATGAAGCAAGGACACGGAAATAATTGCAGCAAGGCAAGTAAATTCTTGTGGGTTGCTATTCTTGGATCTGTTGATAACGTACCAATTGTAATGGGGACCTATATATTGCGACGTTATTCCCCAAAAAAAAAAAAAAATCCCAATAAGAAATTAGACGATAAAAGATATTCGGAAAGTAGGGAACCGTACACAAAACGCCGTATGATTCTCTCTCAAGAGATTTCGATATTCACAAGACTCGATACGCGATAAACTAACTAGTGTTGGGCGCCAGGTGGTCTCCGGGGAGAACACCGCGAGTGCAGGGCACTCGAGATCTTGGAAAATCTGAAGGAACCGCGAGAAAGCTCGGAACAACGGAAGGGAAAAGGAAATAGGAACGGCGACTCCGCCAAGATAGAAAAGAGAAAGATCGAGAAACTTGGCGGGTCCGTGCATTTCTTGATATAAATTTGGTACAAAACCAG